GGTCTAAGAATGGGACTGAAAACTTGCAACCTTCCTGACCAGAAGGAGTAATTGGCACCTACGGCAGTAAATGTGAACTTGTGGGAAACAAAACTGAGCCTAACCTGTTTTCTACTCCTATAAACCACAAAAATGTGGGAGGATTTTAAATGACAAACTGATGAGCTCAGGTTTAAACATAAAGGGTCTGAGGTGAGAGTGACAGCAGTAATTGGTAAAGATACTAACATATTATTGTGAAGTATGTTCTTATACCTAGCTGGTTGAGGGATTTTTTTTTTTTTTAATTGTGAAGGGATGCTAAATTTTATCAAATGCTTTCTCTGCATCTGTTGAGATGATCATGTCATTTGTGTCCTTAATTCTGTTTATGTGATGAATCACCTTTATCATTTTGTGTACGTTGAAACATCATTGCATCCCAGGAATAGAACCTACTTGGTCATGATGTTTTATCTTTTTGATGTGCTGTTGGATTCATTTTGCTATTATTTGGGTGAGGATTTTTGTGTCTATGTTCATCAGAGATATTTACCTCAAAATAATAAAGGCTATAATATGAGAAACCCATGGCCAACATCATACTGGACAGAGAAAATTTGAAAGCATTCCCTCTAAGACCTGGAACAAGACAATGATGCCAATTTTTACTACTCCTATTCAATATAGTACTGGAAGTCATAGTCAGAAAAATCAGTCAGGAGAAAGAATTTATTTCTTTCAGAAAGGAAGAAGTCAAATTATCTCGGTATGCTAACAACACGATTTTATATATAGGAAACCCCAAAATCCTGTCAAAACTCTAGATTTAATAAATGAATTCAGTAAAGTTTCAAGATACAAACCAACATACAATAATCAGTAGCATTTCTATATGCCAATAACAATAAAGCAGAGAACCAAATCAAGAAGGCAATCTCACAATAACTACCAAAAAATGTGCCTAGGAATACATTTAACCAAGGAGGTTAAATATCTCTACAAGAAGAATTACAAAGTACTGATGAAAGAAATTGTAGATGACACAAACAAATGAAAAGATAACCCATGGTCATGAATCAGAAGAATTAATGTTATTAGAATTGATGGATACACTAAAAGCCCATACTTCACCACTATGCAATATGTTGTAATAAAACTGCACTTGTACCCTTTAAATTTATACAAATAAAAAAGACACTAACATAGCAGCTAATATTAGAATAGCATTTTACAATCTGCAAAGCACATTTATCCACATTTCTTAATCCCAGTCCTGATCCTATGAGCTGAGGAAGATAACATATAAAAACTAAAGTATAGCATAACCAGCAAAAAGTTTATATAGCCATAGAAATAAATAAACATTCCTGGGGAGGAGGGTAGAAAAATAATGGCAGATGATTGAGTTAGAGATAGAGGGTGGAAGGAGGAATGATGACTGTACAGACATCAGATTCTTTTTCATTGGGGTTTCTTGGGATATTTGTCTTTCATGAGAGCCATTCATGTGTATTAGTGAAAATCATGGGTTTCAACACCTACCAGGATGAAAGGAGTGTGTACTTCTAAATTACCTCAACTCTGGCTGGGCGCGGTGGCTCACTCCTGTAATCCCAGCACTTTGGGAGGCCAAGGCGGGCGGATCACAAGGTCAGGAGATCAAGACCATCCTGGCTAACACGGTGAAACCCTGTCTCTACTAAAAATACAAAAAATTAGCCTGGCACGGTGGTGGGTGCCTGTAGTCCCAGCTACTCGGGAGGCTGAGGCAGGAGAATGGCGTGAACCCTGGAGGCGGATCTTGTAGTGGGCCGAGATCACACCACTGATCTCCAGCCTGGGCAACAGAGCAAGACTCCGTCTCAAAAAAAAAAAATTATCTCAACTCTGTATCGATTTATTTATTATTCCTTTCATAAACTTAAAAAATATTATCTCTTGGTCAATCCATGTTCTCAGCAACATGGAAATAACCAGAAGAGAATAACAGAATACTAGAAAATCTTCGGGTATCTGTGGCCAGTTTTGCAAGTTGACACGGAAAGCAGAACTCTCATACAGTCAAATGTGTCTTAATTTTAAGTAACTAGATTTCACATTGAAGTAGACAGTATAATAGTGGTTACCAGACTGAGGAGTGGACAGGAAAAGCAAAGATATTAGTCAGTGTTTAAAGTTTCAGTTAGACTAGAGGAATATGTTCTAGTGTTCTATTGCACATCATGGTGATTATAGTTAATAATAATGCATTGAATACTTCAAAATTTCTAAAAGAATAGATGTTAAATGTTCTTACCATAAAGAAATCATAAGTATATTAGGTGATTAATAAGTTAATTAGCCTGATTTAGTCATACAATTTATGTTTGTCAATTAAAAATTTAAAAATAACTGAAATGTAAATTAATTAAAACTTTAAAACACAACTAGAGTTTATAGCAACCGTAAAAGTAGGCTCTGATCTTCCCAGATTTTTTTCCCTTCATTTGGAGTCTATTTTCATAAGCATGAGGCTGTGTTTAATGAGAATATCACTGAACTGGGGGTTAGCAGATTGTATTCTAGCTCCACATTAATAACTTCCTTGCTGTGTGCCTTGGAAAAGTTATTTGTACTTTTTGATCTTCAGTTTCCTCTTCTGAGAATGAGATTTGGATAGCTTCAGTTGCATAGGACCTGGCCCTAGCCCTGCCTATTCCTCATGTCCTATCCCTTCCCTGGATCACTCTGCTGCAGCCACTAGGGCCTTATTTCTATCCTCAATTCATGTCAATCTCTTTTCAGCCCTAGAGTATTTTCATTTGCTGTCCTCTCTGCCATTGTCCTTCAGGCCAGTTTTAATCCATCACCTTATTCAACTTTATTTTTTTCATTTGTTATATTAATATTTTTAAGCAATGAACTAATTTCTTTGTTTTATTGCTTATCACTCTCCCAAGAATACAAAATCCATGGAAGAAGGCAGAGATTCCTCATAATCCCAAATGCTTAGAACAATATCTAAAATATAGAATGTCCTCAATAAATAGTTTCCAGATGAATGGATGATTTTCTTTTTTATAATTTAACTTTTGTTTTTAAGTTCTGGGGTGCACTTGCAGGTTTGTTACTTTGGTAAACTTGTGTCATGGGGGTTTATTGCACAGATTATTTCATCACCTAGATATTAAGCCTAGTATCCATTAGTTATTTTTCCTAATCTTCTCCTTTCTCTTATCCTCTACCCTCTGATAGGCCCCAGTGTGTGTTGTTCCCTCTGTGTGTCCATGTGTTCTCATCATTTAGTTCCCACTTTTAAGAACACACAGTATTTGGTTTTCTGTTCCCGTGTTAGTTTGCTAAGGATAATGCCCTCCACCGCCACCCATGTTCCTGCAAAGGACATGATCTCATCGTTTTTTATGGCTGCATAGTATTCCGTGGTGTATATGCACCACATTTTTTTATCCAGTGTAACATTGATGGGCATTTGGGTTGATTCCATGTCTTTGCTATTGTAAATATTGATGCAATGACCATATGCATGCATATGTCTTTATAATAGAACCATTTATATTCCTTTGTATATACCCAGTAATGGAATTGCTGGGTCAAACAGTATTTCTGTCTTTAGGTCTTTGAGGAATTGCCACACTGTCTTCTACAATGGTTGAACTAGTTTACAATCCCACTCTCAGTGTATAAGTGTTCCTTTTTCTCCATAACCTCACCAGCATCTGGGTTTTTTTTTTTTTTTTTTTCATGTTTTAGTAATAGCCAAAGAATGGATGATTTTCAAAACAGGATTTATTGGAGAAACTTTATTGTTCAAGTAGAATCTTACCTAAGTGCTTGATACACAAGCAAAAGTAGATAATATCAGGTCTGCTGATTGTGGAAAAATAAGACAAGAAACGTCCTTCATATAAGCCTTGAGATGCACCTTAAAGCAACCTCTCAGAATCCAGCTCTTTAGAATTGCCTTGGAAACCACTGGGATAGATCAACTCTACATTTCATAATAGTTTATGATTATGCTTCTAAGTTCCTTCTTTGATCTCAACATATAGTATTTTCTCAGTACCAATGCTTACAAAATTTGGATGCATTTTTCCATGGATGTGTTACTATATTGTAGTGTTCCCATCCTCATTCCCTCTCCTTGCTGTAAAATTGTGGCTTGCAATCAAGGAACTGCAGTATATAGAACAGAGTTCCAGAGGCCCTCTAACTAGTGTGGTTACATTTGTACTTTAGTTTCTAAATGAGCTGGCTTGAAGTCTAATCTGTGTACTGTGGGAAGTCCAGTTCTTTACTCAAATCTCCAACTGTTTTCAGGGGTTATGTTCTCCCTGTACTACCTCTGCAGCTCACTTTCTCAATGTGTCTTGGGGCCTAGAAGCTACTCTCCTCTCCCAGCACTAAAGCCAGCAACCCTGCCATTCATTGATCAATATGCTAATTCACTCATTCCCTTTATAGCACTGCTGATATAACATTATTTTAGCAGGCTTGTACTGAAGGCTCTTCAATTTTTCATATTGTGTGTGTATAGGGAGGAAACATTTAAAGGGAATTACAGTGAAACATAAAAGGAAGATAATTTGAATCAAATGTTATCATTAACGTCCTAAATATCCATCTGATAATCCTCTCAGTGAGAAATTTCTCACTGATCTTTTCACTTTTATTCTCTCTTCCTCAGTGTTTCTGTTTTACTTAACACACTCACTTACAATAGCTACGAATCTCAATTTCCAAATTTTTATTTCTTTTTCAATTCAGAGTAATTTCGCTCTCTGTTTTCATCTCCTTCTCCCTGATCATATTCTGTACAGCACTCTATTTCACAAGCAAAGAGGTCATCAAGGATTTTTTTTATACATAGGACCATCATTTTCATACAGATCATGCCACATTCTTGGCACATGAAAGCAACTTCAGGTAGTTCTTGCTTTAAATAGCATTTGTCATTTCACTCTTTCTACATTTCTGTACACTGTAAGCTTATCCTAGTTATTCCATTGCCCAGTAAAACATCATCCTGTACCCTTAGTAGAAAACAAAACTATAACCTTATCTCTGATCTGCTTGGTCTTCACTCCGTAAACCATGGGGTTAAATGCAGGTGGGATAACAATGTAGAGATTGGCAAACATGATGTGGAAGGTGCGAGAGACATTGTGTCCAAAACGATGGGCAAGGATGGAGAAAAAGGCAGGCATATAAAACATGAGGATGACACAGACATGAGAACCACAAGTGCCGAGGGGTTTCTGGCGGGCATCTTGGGAGGGAAGGCGAAAGACAGCACAGAGGATAAGGGCATAGGAAACAGCAATGAGAATCACATCTGAGATGACCATCATGATGGGAACACAAAAGCCATACCAGATGTTGATGGAGATATCAGCACAGGTGAGCCTGACAATGCCTATATGCTCACAGTATACGTGGGGTATGATACGTGTCCTGCAGAAAGGCAGGCGCGTCAGCAAGAATACGTCTGGCAGGATGATGCAGAACCTTCGAAAGGAGATGCCCATAGCAATCTTGATGATGGCCTTGGGAGTCAAGATGGTGGTATATCTCAAGGGAGAACAGAGAGCTACATAGTGATCAAATGCCATGGCCATCAGAATGGCTGAATCCAGAACAAAGCTGTAGTGAAGGAAGAACATTTGTGTAAGGCATCCTGGGAATGTGATTTCGCGAGCCCCCAGCCAAAGATACTGAGTGTTTTAGGCACACCAGCGGTGGACAAGGTGAGGTCAGTCATGGCAGCAAGGAGAGAAAGAAGAACATGGGTTCATGAAGACTATGTTCCACCACAATGAGGTAGCGAAGGATGCAGTTTCCCACAACAGCTACAATGTAGATGACACAGAAGGGAATTCCAATCCACATGTGGAATTGCTCCAGGCCTGGGATCCCTACCAGAATGAAGGGCCCTGGATTGTAACTGCTTAGGTTGAAAATGATCATGGCAGATGCAGATGGCATAAATCTCAGCTCCTAAAGACAGAGGGTGATTAAGGATAGTTAGAGAAACTTGAGTAACTCTCAGACTTTCAACTAATTATCATTATGGCCTCCTGAAGATAAAGTGACCATATAATTTGTCATCCAAAATAGAACCTGTTTGAAATCAACAAAGGTTAAAATTAGTAATAATGGTAGCAACATGCATAAACCAAGATTATTCCAGATACAAATAGATACATTATTGGTCTACCTGAAGAGAATCTTTTCTTTCTTCTGGCCTCCCCCAGTAGTGTACACAGCTACTCCAGGAAGCCTTCCAGACTGGTTACACTCTTCATTGTACACTGTTCTCCCATACAAGTTAACAAAGTACAGAATACACTTTTTCATGGTGGATTATAGCTTATATGACCTTATGGACATCATTATTTAGGATCTGCTTGCTCTGTCATTGCCCCCAAGGCAACTGTTTGCTTCTTTTAAAGCTACCTGATGACTGTGGCTCTTAGATTTGTAAGATCAACACCCCTTTATTGCCATCTAAAAACCTAATTCAGTTCAGCAAACACCAGATGAGTTCCTACACTATGCTGGATAACATGTGTAAGCCAAATTTAAATTAGAAAAGTCCCTTATAGCTGAGGCTCACTAGCCTTTCTCCTCAAAAAAAAAAAAAATCAGTAGTTTTCCAACACTTTGTATACTACACAAGTGTATTCTAATAGTGTGGACTTAGTGACACTATCAGTCAAGGTTTCTGTCCAAAAGTAGGACTGCGTTTTTGTGAACATACATCTATTAGAGAGACACATCGACCCAAGCAAGACACATACTCTCTCAAACACAGACCCTTAATATTTACATTCTCAGGCATATCCGGACCTACACTTATATTTTGTCATATATTTTGCCGCCATATATTTACCCATACATAATCTTACACAATTATAAGCCCCTTCTCCTCCCGTCTTCCCCCCACACATGTGCTGAGAATATAAACAAAACATTTCATAATTAGATTTTGTCATTGTCACAGGCTTTGTAAATTCCTAAAACCTCTCCACTGGTCCTATACCTTCTTCCTTCCCTAGTAATGCCTCTACCCACCCCTCATCAAACATCCCATTTCATTTACATAGAAAGATATTTTTTATGTGTATAGATACTCCTTATGCTTATAGATACTCCTTTTGTGAGTAGAAAGACACTACATGTGTAAGTGCTACAGGTAATGAACCATATAGCAAGGCCAGGGGCTTCCAGAATCAGGACTAAAATGAGACTTGTGGTAGCCATATACGTCATATTCCTCACCTGAGAAGGCCAAGAATCATGTTTAAACTTATTCCTACCCCTGTATTTTATGTCCTTCTTGGGCCCAGCTCATAATGCTTTCCATTCCTCAGATCAGAACTTACTTTCTTCATTCTTCTTTAGGTAAAAAGGGACACATGATGCTTTCTCTTTATTTCTTACCCTTCCTTATCTATAGGTAAAAACACCTTTCTTACAACAACTCAAACTCTCCTCTACAGTGTCTTCACATTCTAGATTCTGAGAACATAGTCCAGACTTCAGAGGGTGGGTCACAGCTCAGCCCCCCATCTACTGAGGATTCAAGGTTTTCCTGCTTAGTCCACCTTCATCTTGATTCTCTTATCCACTGGGGCCATAGAATTCACCTGTTGCTAACACTAGAAACCTGACTAGGTTGTTCAGCCTTCATGTTGAAAAATCCTCTTCTATGCTGTTCACATACTCAAACATCATGTGAAAACTCCTCTTCTATGCTACTCACATACTCAAATAACATGTGGCATCAACATACTGAAACTATATGTTAATACTTTGAATCACAGCTCTCCCATCTTGTCTGAGGTCATCCTTTACTCATACATATGTGAGGAAAGGTTTTCTTGAGTTTTTGTATTTCCATGAACTCAAATACAACAGATGTTCATGAAGTCATCCAAAAGCATTCACAAACACACATGGGTGCACAGACAGTTAACTCTCAGGGTTCTCATTTAACGATCAGACAAATCCACAATGTGGAAAAATCTACAACAGTCTGTTTTCTTTTTTCAAGTCAATGCCATTAAAGGGGAAAGGGGAATATCAGATAAGGAAAATCCATTTCCAGATTAAAGTACATTTAAGAGAAAAACAAATAAATGCAGTGCGGTTATTTATTTATTTATTTATTTATTTATTTATTTACTTGAGACAGAGTCTCACTCTGTCACCCAGGCTGGAGTGCTGTGGCATGATCTCAGCTCACTGCAACCTCTACCTCCCCAATTCAAGCAATTCTCCTGCCTCAGCTTCCCGAGTTGCTGGGATTACAGGCGCCCGCCACCACCCCCAGCTAATTTTTGCATTTTTAGTAGAGACGGGTTTTCACCATGTTGGCCAGGCTGATCTCGAACTCCTGACCTCAGATGATCCACCCACTTCAGCCTCCCAAAGTGCTGGGATTATAGGCGTGAGCCACCACGCTTGGCCTGCAGTGTAGTTCTTGATCGAATTCTGTTTAAACAAACCAGGTATTGAATTCAATTAATGAATAATTAGGGAAACTTAAATATGAACTAGATATAGAGTGATATAAAGGAATTAGTGTTAATTTTATCAGTAATAATTATTGTATTATGGTAGACACACACACATACACTCAGGCATCCACAGTATGTTAGCAAAATATTGGCACAGAGCATGTGCTCTGGAGCCTCAGAAAGCTAGCTTTCACAACTTAATCATGGTTCCACAATTTACTGGCTATGTGAATCTGGGCAAGCTATTTAAACTATATGATATTTGGGTTCCTATGTTTTTAAAAGAAATTAATATTTCTAATTTTTACAATTATTATTAGGACAAAATGATACACACTAAAAAAATTTTTTTTTTTGAGACAGAGTCTTGCACTGTTGCCCAGGCTGGGGTGCAGTGGCACAATCTTGGCTCACTGCAACCTCCATCTCCACGGTTCAAGTGATTCTCCTGTCTCAGCCTCCCGAGTAGCTGGGATTATAGGCGCCCACCACTATGCCGGCTAATTTTTTTGTATTTTTAGTAGAGACAGGCTTTCACTATGTTGGCCAGGCTGGTCTCAAACTCCTGACCTCGTGAACTGCCCACCTCGTCCTCCCAAAGTGCTGGGAATACAGGCGTGAGCCACCACACCCGGCCGAAAAATATTCAATATAGTACCTGAAACATAGTAAGCATATAACAAGTTTTACTTCTTTATATTAGGTTATATTTATATCATTAGCATTATCATTAACAGTCAGACCACACAGTGGAGAAGAGAACAGAAATAGCAAGATGGATAAAAATTAACAAGAGCACCCCTGGGCATACACACATACCAGCACACTTAATTCTACATTTTAGGTTAGAGTTACGGACTCTTGTCATATGTCTTGAAACAGAAATTTCCTAACACTGCTAACTGTGGTCATATTTAATCCAACTGTATAATTATCCATCTGTTCTGATCTTTTGATGCTTATTCAGTGGAGCATATACACAAGTATTGGAGATCAGGACCTCAGTTTATAAACGGGAGTTGCTCAGGGAAGAAAATTATAGTGCCCAGCCCATGGCCCCTAAGAAATAGAGCCCTGGCTTTTCACTCACTTTGTCTAAGTCTTGTCCCAGTCAAAGCCCTTCAAATAGCCAATACTCACCAAATCTTGGGGATCAGGCCAAAGGGAAAGAAGAAAGAATGTGTTGACAAAACCTGCAAGAGAGCAGACACACCAACCAAAAAAAATAAATAAAAATAAAAATAAATAAGTGGAAGGAAAAGGAAGGACATTAGAGAGGTTGATTCCCTGTCCATTTATTTTCTCTGATCACTCACTGTTCTCTGTGGGGAAAAGGCAGGTAGTCAGGGGATTAGGGACTCTGACATGCCTTCTTCTCATCCTCAAGGGAAGAAAATGAAAAAGATTCTATTAACTTTGTTAATGTCTTTGAGTAAACACTGCTTTAGGGTACTTTATTTATTTATTTGTTTGTTTGTTTATTTGTGAGCTGATGTGTATGTGAGTGGAAAGCCGTGTGGATGTGCCTGTCATATCACCCAGATTTCAAGTTCATGCCCTCACTTACCAGATAAAGGACTTTGGACGAGTTACTTATTTCCATTAAAAGATGGTCATATTAGCACCTATCTCTCAAGATTTTATAAGGATTGACAAATTAAGTAGGGCACTGCTTGTGAAAATGCTTAACATATTGGCAAACTCATAGTGTAGAATAATAACCTAGGGCACCTGTTAAAATAAAAATTATATGGCCCACATGAAATAATCCTAACATTATCTTTTAAAAATTCCAGTGACTTCAGGGGTACAAGTATTTTTTGATTACATGGCTGAATTATATAATGGTGAAGTCTGGATTTCTAGCGTACCTGTCAACCGTATTGTGTAGTGTGTACTCAGTAGGTAATTCTTCATCCCTCACCCCTCTCCCAACCTCTCCTCTCCTGGGTCTCCAGTGTCCATTATACTACAATGTATGCCCTTGCATACCCATAACTTAGCTCCCACTTATAATTTTTAAAAAATTAAACTTCATTAAAAATTACAAAAACAATTTGAGCAAATAAAATATATTCTTATGGAAAAACTGTTAGGTCTACCTGCTGGTACTGTCAGGAATTTCTGGAAGTCCAGATACCAATTTTTACCTGAGAGGCTTTTATCCCACAATTCTGAAAGCCAAGTCAGTTTCTGTCAATGTTTGTCAAAGGTTTGCTAAATATTGTTGGATGTGTTAATTAATAAAGATCGCCAGGAGTCCACTCAGTACTCTGAATGTTCTATTATATCTGGAATAAACCAGAACTAAAGAGATTAGCATTGTATTGGCTCCCGACAGAATTTTTACCTTCTGCTGAATAAAAATTGAGGTTACTTCACTTCTCTATACTAGGATAAGGGACTGAAAAGTCACATGAACTTGTGTATTCTGTAAGAATGTCATTAATTGCATCACTTACT